CTCTTCTTAGCCATCCCCAACTTCCCCCCCCCCCCCCCTCTCTATTGGTGAGTAAAAAGCTTAATTACAGTATTTTGTGTATAATTCATATATTCAACATTTCCTGTTTCGAAGAGAGATATGCAACTGTAGGTCCATTGGAGAAAATCAATGGCAAAAGCTATTAATAAGTGAAAAGACGAGCAAAAATCCTGAAAATATGAGACATTGAACTGTGGTAACTTCAGGAGATATGTCCTTCCCTTTGGGACAATTTTAAAGGAAAAAAATGTGACAAAAAGAGAGAGGGAGAGGGGACATCATCGAAACTATAGAGCTAAAGGAAATTCCACATAGGAGTTAACCTTGCCATGGTTTGTGAATCTGTTGCTCATGTGAGGTATTAACACAATTACTAAGACCTGCCATGCTGAGTATATCACTGTGAGATAGGGGTCTGAGGCCTAAGAAATCTCTAGTCAAGCCTTCATTTCCACCACTACTGCCACCCCCATTGCCATTTCTTGTTGTTTTAGAGAGCGAGTAGCTGAAATTAACATCCTTCTTTGAATTCAGAACTCCACTAACTAATGCGTCTTCAAGGGAAGTCCCTTCAAACCCAGAAGCAGAAGATAAAGAACACATCATGTCTTCAATAAGAGCACCTGAGGGGGGTGCACCAGTATTGCTAGCACCAGAGGGAACTGTAGGTCCAGCTTTATTCCCAAAAGGAGCCAAGCCACTGAAAAACAAGCCACCACTTGCCAGTTCTTCACGTGAGGACAAATCCAGACCAAAAACAGCGGTGTTTGTATTTGAAACGTTATCAGCATTAGCAGACACGTGAGCTTGTTCTTGTTGCTGTTGGTGGTGGTGGGGTCTCATCAAGCCAGTAGTTTTGCTGCTCACGGTTGCACCCATCTGAGCTGCTTTCTGCAGCAATGCAGTGGCTGACATGTGTGGGGATGGTCCTGAAGGGTACTGTAGTAGAGTGGGGCCAAGACTAGGGTTAGGGTTTGGACTCATATCTTGATGGGTTGGCGTGAACTCTTGACCTAGCCTTGTTGATAGGATTGATGGTGAGGATGAGGAAGACAGAAGATCAATGGGTGTTTGTTGATGTGGTGGGCCAGAAACCCCTAGTCCTGGTGGGCATGCTAGCCATGATGGGAAATCTGGCCTTGAACGAAAACTACTTTGCTGCTCTTTTTTAAGTGAAAACGCATGAAGGGCTTGACCACTGAATTGGGGCACTTGAAGATTGATACGGGGAGTTGAAGAACCAGGTTGTGTGGAAGGAAAGTGGCCTGGTGCTCCTGTTATAGCCCTTGCACTCTCCTCCGCTAAAGCTTCACAGAAAGCTCTGTGAGTAATGAAACTGTCCCTCCTGAAATACCAAGCATATGAATAGTGAAAACAAAACCTTACAGGCTAGAAAACAAAACCAAATCATCATAAAACCATAAAAGTGCCTAATGTCAACAATGCTAGCAGTATTTGACTTTCTCTCTCTCCCGGCTCCTCTCCTTTTCTCTGCGTTTGTTTTATTTTTCATTTTTTCACTCTGGTAAAGAAGGACGGATTGTTTCAGCCACAAAAAAAAAAAAAACTGAGGGCAGACTGTCCACCAAAGCTATAACAATGAATATTTGACAAACGTAGCATCTCTCTGTGCCGTCAAAGTAGGACTCTGATACTTGCATTGCATTTAATGAATTCCTAAGAAAATCAGATATAGAATAATTCAAAGTCCATGGATGTATCTCAACTGCATGGGACTTCTAGAGAAAACATTAAATGAAAATTCTTTTTGTCTGGTCAATCCTATTTCCTCACTCATGAGTTAATAAGAGCTTGTGACTACAGTCCTAAAAATGGCTTCATGTTCATGTATAGATTTGCTAAATAATGATTTATGGTTTGTTACCTTGAGAAAAGAGTTCCACAGTCACATCTGTACTCCCTAGTGCCACAGGTCTTGGCGTGAGCTTTCCAATCTGATTGAACTGCATACCTCTTTGAGCACTTGACACATTTCCACTTCTTCTCACCATGTTTTCTGCAAAAATGCTTCTTGATTCCTGTCAGGTCCCCAAGAGCCCTTGATGGATCATGGTGTACACAATTTGGTTCCGGGCACACATACACCTTCTTCCTTACCTCCTTGCTTGTTCTTTGCTTCAGCTTCCATGGCAGGTTGTGCCCTCTTCTATGAAGCTGAAGATTCTGATCTCTCTGAAACCCTTTGTTGCAGATCTCACACAGAAATCTATTTGTCGCCATCAAAGTCTTGGGTGACAAAGCTATCACTTCTGCATCTGGGTCTAAAATTGTCAAGAATCCATGCACCCAAAAAAGAAAGAAGACGAAAATATATTAGTAAAACTGAAAACAACTAGCAACGTGTACACGAAATAATCACCTCTAAAGCTAGTATCTTTAAAGATGGATTTAAGAACCTGGATTTCCTGGCAGGTTTCTCTTCTTTTTGACTGGAGGCTGGGTTTGAGCTGGAGAAGCAAAGTATTGCTGAACTCCGTAGTTGGTGCCAGTTTCATTTCTGTTGCCCGAAGAAACACTTGCTTGATCACCAGAAGCAGAAGTCAAATTAGACATATTTTCCTCCTGTAGTATTTGTTGCTGTTGCTGATGAAACATCAAACTTTTCATCATCTTTCTTCTCTTACTTGGATAAGCCAGCTAGCTGCTTTAGAAATCATAAGCTTGCATATCATGGGACCATAGATCTTTGGTTCTCATACATATATGTAACAAACAAACAAATAAAGAAAGAAAGGGTTTTGAAAGTTGATCCAAAAAAAAAAAAACAAAAAAGAAGAAGCAAAAAACAAGGGAAAAACTTACAAAGAGAAAGAGACCAAAAATAAAAGAGGTTAAAACTGATTTTTCTCAAATATTTAGACTTTGGATCAGATACTTAGCCCCTTACTTAGCTTGATGGTTTCTTCTTTGTTTGGCTTCAACCAAAGGGACAAGCTTTTTTAGATAGCTCAAAAGATGCAAGGAGAAAGAAAAGGAGAGACAAAGAAACTAGCTAGCTATAACCGAACCCAGATCATCAACCCACTTTCCCCCTTCATTTGCCTTTCCTAACACCAAGAAAGTTCACTATAACCACACAAAACATGAACAAAAAAGATCCAGCAGATAAATAAAACTTCGTATGTGTGTGAGTGGGTGTGTGTGTGTGTGTGAGAGAGAGAGAGAGAGAGAGAGAGAGAGAGAGGAACTGTGGATGAGAAGGGATAGTCTGTGTGATCCTGAAGGAGTCCAAAAACAAAATACCACAAAACCAAAGAGGAAAAAAAAAAAAGAAAAAGTAGAAAAAAGGGATCCCTACGGGCTGAACTCTGACGTTGCACTTTCTGTCTTTTCTGTTGTTCTGTTCCCAAGCCCCAGAGAAATCTCTTCTTTCTTTACTGTCTATTTGCTTCCCTTTTTTTGTATTCTTTTTTAACAAAGTTTTAATAATCTTCTGTTAAAAATTAACTTTACGATAGTTTTTTCTTTCCCATCACTCCCCTACCTTTTACATCGTTCTTCCACAAAGCAAATAAGAGCTGCTGAATACATAATTTGAAAGGCATGCGGTAATTCACGTAAAAGCTACCATCATTTGTATATCAATATCGAGAAAGAAAGCGGGATTCTTCAATTCACTTGCATGATTGGTTTATTGTAAGCAGACCTTGACATTTTCACAGCTTTCCACAAAGAAAAAACTTGCAGTGGCATGATTGATTCCTTGATTAAGTTTCCAACGGGCATGGCCAAAAGCCATCCTGCGAACTATGTATATATATATATATATATATATAGCTAGCTTAACTGCCTGCTCTACTCTTCATGATAGTTTTGAAATGGTAATTAGACATTAGTCAATGCAAGATTCTTAACTTAATCATGGCTTACTTAATTAACTACTTGACTGCTTATTGACTGGACGAGCTAGCTCTAGTGTGGTGATGGTAAGAAATAATTGGAATACATGACAGAAAGTAGGATTTTGGTAGAACTTTGAGGGCATCATGCCTCTACTTTGGAGTGTGGCCCTTGGACTATTAAGGGACAAAGGACGTCACACCTATGCTGTGTAAAACCATGCTCGCTGCACAAACCTCACAAGGACCATCGTCAACAATGACAGAAACCATTTTAAAATAGTTTTTGATGAAATTAGAACTAGCTAGCTAGAGGCTACCTTGCAAGTTATACGCCACACACACGTGTCTGTGTCATCTGTACTCTAAAATAATGTGAGAACTCGTGGAGCTACACTGTCGTGCTGCTGATTGATGTTTCCGATGAGAGCTCATGTTCCCTCTTACATAATAGGAATAAAAGGTTGGGAATATATAAATATTTTTCTTTTGTCATCTTCTTGTTTTTTCAATCAATGGTTTGGTTTTTGAAAGGGGATCTTGTTCTCGACTAAAGTCTCAATTCCAGCTCATTTCTGCTGTAAATAATTAAGCGGTTTATTATTATTATTATTATTATTATTATTATTATTATTATTATTATTATGTAATGAATGTTAATTTAAACTTGCCTCTGATAACGAAAGAAAACAAAATATAGAAAAAAAGGGGAGAATAAAAATCCTTAAATGTTATGCATGTGTGCATGTAAAGAAAAATCTACAAATGTGGATTAGTTTCAAATTTAATTTTTAGCGCGCGCAATAAAAGAAAACATTCATGTAATGAATGCTTTTAAGATAGTTATTGACAAATTATAATAATCTCTCCAAAAAATTATAAAATTAAAAAACATATATTTAAAAATATCAATTATCATTTTAAAAAAAGTTAAGCAAAACAATTTAAAAACTAAAAGATGAAGTTTAAATATGAAAATAATGAAGTTTTAAGATCATAGATATTATGCATTATATTTGATTGTTAATGTGTACAATTAAAAAAATTACTCACAAGTAACACATATATTTGCTAGGAATACGGTTAGATTCAATGTTATATTATAATTAACATAAATATTTAGAAAAATACTAAATATAAAAGTGCTTTTATTTTTTTTTGGATAATCATCAATTTTATTAAAAACATGTCTATTTAGACAATAAATATAAAAAAACAAAAAAAAACTTATAATGAGATATGAAAAGGAAAAACAAACAAAACAAATCAAAACATCAGTAAATTCTATGTTAGTTTGTTCAAAACTTTATGCTATATGTATTGATTACAAGATCAGATTTTCAATATGTAAACTAATAATTATAGAAATTCAGCCAATAAAAAAAGACACCGAAGGATCAAGATAAAGTAGAAACCAAGATCCACTCTTTTGAAAGATAATATTATTATAAATTAACCATATATTCTAGATTATGTAAAAAGATAAAAGCTTTTTATTTTTTTTTGAAAATTTCTAGTAATCAGCATAAACCATTAATATAACATAAAAGTTTTTAATACCAAACCATGTTAAATGGTGAACTAAGTTATAGTTGGGATATTGCTTGTCTCAAAATAAAAAATTCACAACAATCTTTGTTAAAAATATTTTTTAATTTTTAATATTTTCAAGAATGAAGAATCCAAGTTAGATATATTATATATCACCTGCACTTGAATTTTTTTTTTATTTTTTGTATTCATATAATTAAAACATTTTTTTTATTTTTTGTATTCATATAATTATCAGGGCTTAACTTATTATTTTTTATGTTAATTTGTTTTAATTATTTAAAATTATTTATATATTTATAGTTTTCCTAAAATTGGCTCAATTAAAATCAGTAGCTAACTTTAATCCACTTATTCTATTAGTCCTAATTTAGTAATTTACAAATACATGATGTTATGGAATAAATTATTAACACAAAAGTAATTTTGAACACTTGAGACAAATTAATATAAGGCCAAAATAATAGAATAATACTCTTTGATATAATTAATGATTGGTCTCACAACTTTGGACCAAAAGAGAGCAATTATTTTTTCCCCTTGCCATTCAAGTTGAGTTGATGAAGGAGAAAATTGTATTTTAGTCCCAAATCTTTGATATAATTTAAATATAATTTTAGGCACAAGCATTTTTACATATGGTTAGTTTAGTCTTCAATTTTAAATATTCTAATGATTTAGTCATTAAAAACAATTTTCAATGTGATTCTAAAACTTTATCTATATGCATTTAAAAACATTCAAAATAGAATAAAAATATTGATTGTGCTCCTAAAGCTAAATATTCTAAAAATATAGTTTAGTATCTTGATAATATCTTAATTTGAATATGAGAGTAGGGCATGTTAATGAGATTTGTTCTCTTTATTATCTTATTGGGTTAAAATATTAGGATATCTTGTTTTTTAGAATCCAATAAATCAATATGTAGATCTCATATTAATAAACAAGTTCAAATGAAAATATACTTAATAGTTAAATCAACAAAAAAAATTCTCCAAAAAAGAAAAAAATTTAAGCTTCTGTCCAATGTATATTAAAACAAAAAGTTAAAAAAAATGATAATTACTTATTCTACTACGTGATAAAAACAACTTTGCCTCATATCTATTTCTTAATTATAATGCAATGAAAAAAGATAAAAAAATCAAATAGTGTAGAAGTATACAGAAATCTAAAATTTTAAATTTCTTCATATTAATCAAAATTAAATCTTAAAAAGTTAATTTAATTTATTCATCTAATTAATTACACACAGATATATGAAATACTCTTCCAAAATAAAAAAAATTGAATTGATCAATCTAATAATGATTATTTTAAATTTATAATTATTTAGTGTTAAACGATCATCCAAATCAAATGATTGCAATATGTAAATTGTAATCATATATCAGAGGAAAAGATGAAACTCATGGGATTAAACTAAATGAATAACTAACTAAAGTTATTTAAAATTATTTGAAATAAACCATCCAAAAACCAATAATAATAAAGAAAGTTGTATAATGATTTGTTGGTCATTAAATATCTCAAAAAAGTTTTTATAAGTACTAGCATGACCTTTTTATAGGCCTTATTTTCTGAGAAACTAGATAACAATCGTTTGGACAAATAATTGTCTATCCTTATCACTGTATGTTAAATGTTAATATCTCTCTTACACTCAATATAATAGACTATATCTTAAAACTTGTAAGAAAATCATTGTAATAATATTGTGTATACAATGTGTTCATACTATAGATCACATTATAAATATAAAATATTTATATTATGAAACACATTGTAGATGTTTAGAGGACAATGAAACGATTGTATTTTCTATTTTTTATGATATTTTATTATTTGTTTTGCCACATGTTAGAAGTAGATTCATTATTGTTATGAGGACTTTTTTTTTATTAACCGTAGGTGTCTAAGCCAGCTTATGCACACATCGACTAATCTTCCGAGATCCTAAAGTTAATAACTATGCAAGCTTCCAATGACCCTAAAGTTTGTGAAACTTGAATTGATGATCTCTAGAAAACAAACCCAGTGCCAACTAGTTGAGCTACACCCCTCAGGGTTGTCATAAATACTCTTTACTTTATTCACAAAGCATTTCATATTCTTAAATTGCATTGCCCTTTAGGTAAAGTTATTTCTCTAAAAAAACAAACAATTATTTCCTTATAAGGGTTTTCAATGGAGAAAGGTCAATTCCATGATTTCAATAATTGCCTTTATGTTCCTATAATTTGACTAATAATTAAGAACATGTACTCATGATCATTTAATTGATGTATATGACTTTTTATGCAGCATGACTTCTTGAAATCATAAAAAATATCATTGCCTTTTTTAAAATTTAGATTTTATACTCAAGAATCTCTAAAGTTGCATTGGTTTCTACGCAGTTCCTTTCATCTTTTAGGAAATGAAACATAAAACGATCATATGGAAGTTTTAGGAAATGAAACAAAAAACATTGTTTTTGATACTTTTTCATCTTTTAGGAATTTCAAAATAATCTAAAATAAAAAAAATTTATAAATTCATGAAAGAGGAGTATCAACTTACCTTTTTATTTTATTTGAGCAACACATAATGTATATTAGGCTTTGACAGATTATTTACTAGATTGATCTTTTGTAATAGGTCTTATGCACTCACTTCTTTCACAACCATTTGGTCTTTTGTATTTTTATTATTGTCTTCTTTAGGGACTTTATACACTAAGCTTGTAACTCTCCACGATGCCCCTAACTTTAAATATCATACTATTTGTTAAAGTATGGTTGTAATAATGATCATGTGGAAAGATTTCTTATTAGGTGATATATAAAAGAAAGTTTGGCTATTT